GGGGGTGGGAGGGGTGGAGAGGAGGAAAAGAGCGAGAAGAAAAAATTGGGAAACAAGCAAGGAAAAGTAAGAGACAAGGGGTAATCAAGAAGGAAACAGATTACAAAAACAACCTCAAAGAATTTCAAATTAACGAAACTCACCTGAGGCGATCAGGTTGAGTGGCCTATGTGGGGAAAAGTAACGTGTACCAGAGCAATGGAGCCCACGGAAGTGGGCAGAGACCACTAACCATGGTGCTATAAACTACCAAGAGTGCAAGGCCATACAATATAACAGAAATAAGCTCGTCTGGACCAAATAACATGAAGGACCGGGTACCTCAGACATCCAACTGTGCAAGGTAGAAGGCCATGTCCAGTACAACCGAGAGAGAAAATAACATTAAAACGTAAACAATGTAAACATCAGCATCCTCGCAGAACGCCAAGTCTCCAACTCACTAGATCAGCTGCCCCCCTCCTACATAAGTAGGGGGTATGTAAATAAATGAACAGCAGGATTCAACACCACTGTACTACAGGGCGTGGAAGGCTATAATGACCTCAGCCAATACGAACTGTATACATGGCAGCCCCCCAGCCAGGAGCAAAGGACTCAGCTCAGGAGAATTCCTGTGCAATAACAACCATAACATCCCCAGCCAGTACTCCCCATGCCCACCCCTCAAGCCAACATGTCCTGGATTTTAAGTGATCCCCAAGCACAAGAAGGACATGGGGATAAAGCAGCCAGCTGGGGAAGGTTCACAGGTAGTGGAGTGTAGTGGGGGAGTCACTGATGGTCTCATATGTAATGGGCACAGTCCCCCGCAGCTGTAGGGCTGCACCATCATACCCCACTGCTAGGGGAAAGAATACTCAGGCTGTATAACAGGTGGGGGACATGGAGCCACTCAATAAGTGAGGTAAGAGACCCGCCCTGGGAGATCTGTGGCTCACCCACAAGTTATATTATAGCCAGGGGGTTACATGAAGAGGAGAATCAAATTAAGGCAGGATGCCCCTGCCAGGACACCCACTGTAAATTTCAGGGATGTCCAGGCCCTCGTGTAAGGCAATATGTTGAACATATACAAATAGGTCAGTCACCGGTACTTATGGATCCCACATGAGAACAGGATAGTGTAGGCGAGAGACTACCAAGAAAGGGACAGCAGAACTTTAGGCCTCATTGCTGGTCAGCTCTAGGCGCTGGGCTCACCAAGTGGACCGGAAGCGGTTGTTCCTTTGGCACAGAGTTCTTGGGGCTCTCCAGGTAAGTGGAACTGGATCCAATAGAGGAGCCAACCAGTTGGGAACTTCCACAGCAGCCACATCCCAGGAACAAAAAGAGAGCTGGCAGCTGAGAAGAAACTGTCTGCCATCTTTCTTCTTGACTTGAAGGTGTCCCCAGCTGTATGTTGTATTAGCTTCGTGGATAGTTTGCAGTAGTGGGCGAAGCTGTCTCCACATCGCAAGGGTAAGGCTCGACAGGTCAGGGTAGAAAGTGATGGTAGCTCCATCAAATTCAATCGATTTCTTAGTCCACGCCGAGAACTTCTTCCTTGAGAACCAAAAAATGGATAAGGCATAGAACATCACGCAGATTGGCACGGGTTTCAGGATCTTTCATCTGAGCATTTCCTAATGACCAGGAGTACACGGGACTTTCATCTGGGACATACTTTCTTTCCATCTACACAGACTGCCAATGACATTGCTAATCCTGCTGAAAGGAATATTGCAGCTTATCCAGGGACAAAAGTCTGATCACCCAGAACATATGGGGAAAGAAAGGGAATATTTTTCCTCCCATTTACAATACAGGGGGTTTATTTTGCCCTTTCCTGGGCAAAGGTTATAAAAGCTGCTAAGAATTGATGTTTCTAGATTTTCACATATCATGCTATAAAAAAATCAAGAGGTGGAATGTGTTGCTATGGATATGAGGTGATTTTTTTTTTATAGCTTAGATATGTGACTTTTAAATTACATATGTTGTGTTTGAAACTAAGCCTCCCCTATTGATATGTAAATGAATCAGTCAGACTGCATTATGAGTTCAGCAGAGGAAGTCGGGCTACAGGATAGGATGTAACAGGAAACGGGGTAGGGGATTAGGACTTTGAAAAAACCATGTGGTGAGTGACAAAGAGCGTTGTTCTGGACTTTGGGGAAGAGGAGTTGTTTTGTGAGACAAAGGAGGGGCACACCCTTGGTCTGAAGATGAATGAGTAAGCAGTTGGACTCAAAGAATCATGAATAAAATTCCATCAATGGAAAGCTCAAGTTGAGTAGCTGTTTACTATACTTATTGCATACATATTGTACAAGCTTATTTGCTAGGATGATAATCAGCCTGTGCATGTTGTAGGCATATTTTGTTATACTTTGCATGCTATGATTTGTGCATCCTGCAGTTGTATGTGCAGCTCTTTTGTTTAGTAAAAAGCATTAATGCACTACAGAGGTCTAAGCTTCCTTGGCTTTTATCGCAAGAACCTTTAAATAGACACCAAGCAAAATGGTGAGACACATCAACCTTGCTGTGTGTGTGTGCTGATGTCCTGTTTTGAACTTATCAAAATAAAGAAAATGGATTTTTAGCTATGATTTGAGGTGTGTGCAGGCGCGTATCTTCCGCAAGGCAAACAAGTTGTTTGCCTAGGGCAGCAGTTTTCAGGGGGGCGGCACCGCTCGGCATGAGCTTGAGCGAGAGGCAGATTCGGTATGGCTCGGGCGGGAGGGCAGGCTCAGGCGGCATGGCTCGGGCGGAAGGCAGGGGGCAGGCTCAGCAAGTCTTGAGCAGGGGAAAGTGGGCTCGGCTTATGCCATCCTGAATTAATGGAAAGCCGGCTGTCTTACCCTCTCTGTGCCTTCCCTGCTGCACCCACTGATATTGTTAGGATCTGGCAGGAAGCCCATACCCAGACTGACCATCGCAGCTATGCTCCGCCTGTCCGGCCCCTTTCTATTCCATTCACTGCATAGGGCCGAAGGTAAGAGCCTAGAGGTCAGCTGATAAGAGGGGGTGCAGGAGAGGAGACCATCACTGCATGTCAGGTATCAGTGCAGCCGCAGACACCACTGACCCCAGATAAGTGCTCCATTACTTGTCAAATAGAGTCTCCTTCTCTCTCTCTCTTCTTCCTCCTCCCCTCTCTCTCTCTTTTCCCCCCTTCTCTCTTATCTTCCCCCCTCTCTCTCTTCTCCTCCCCCCTCTCTCTCTTCTCTCCCCACCTCCTCTCCTCTCTCTCTCTCCCCCCTCTCTCTTTCCCCCTCCTCTCTCTTCTCTCTCTCTTCCCCCCCCCTCTCTCTCTCTAACCCTCTCTTCCCCCTCTCTCTCTTCTCTCTCTTCTCCCCCCTCTCGCTCTTTCCCCCTCCTCTCTCTTCTCCTCCCCTCTGTCTTCTCCCCCCCCCCCTCTCTCTTCTCTAACCCTCTCATCGCCCCCCCTCTCTCTCTCATCTCCCTTCTCCCCCCCTCTCTCTCTCCTTCTCCCCCTCTCTCGCTCTCCTTCTCCCCCCCTCTCTCTCTCTCCTCCCCTCTGTCTCTTCTCCCCCCCCCCTCTCTCTTCTCTAACCCTCTCATCGCCCCCCTCTCTCTCTCCCCCTCTCTCTCCTCCCCCCCTCTCTCTCTCTCCTCTCCCCCTCTCTCTCTCTCTCCTCCCCCTCTCTCCCTCTTCCCCCCCTCTCTCTCTTCCCCCCCCCCTCTCTCTCTCTTCTCCCCTACCCCTCTCTCTCTCTTCTCCCCTACCCCTCTCTCATCGCCCCCCCTTTCTTCCCCCCTTTCTCTCCCCCCCCCCCCTTTTCTCTTCTCCCCTCTCTCTCGTCTCCTTCTCTACCTCTCTCTTCTCCCCCCCCCCTTCCCCCCCCTCTCTCTTCTCCCCCCCCTCTCTCTTTCTCCTTCTCCCCCCCCTCTCTCTCTTTCTCCTTCTCCCCCCCCCTCTCTCTTCTCCTCCTTCTCCCCCCCCCTCTCTCTTTCTTCTCCTCTCTCATTTTGCACAAAATAAACGTAATCTGGGGGCTAACAAGCCGCTGGATTACTTTTACAGGCGGCGGAAGGGCATCCCTCCCCCTCCTGCCACTGACGCCTTTACCAGGCTCTACCGTGCAGTCCCAATGCAAACGATCAGAATGATCTGTGTCTGATCGCATGCATTGGGAGGCCAGAGGAGATATTTGGGGTCTAATAGACCCTAGATCTCTCCATAAACAGGAACTGTCATGGCCAATGCTATCACAAGGGATGTTGTTCATCCCTTGTAATAGAAATAAAGTTGATCAAAAAAAAAAAGTTAAAAAGGTACAGTGTACAAAAAAATGTAAATAAAGAAATAATAAAATAGCAAAACAAAATTAAAACACCCCCGTTCCCCCATGCTCACATGCACATTGGTCCCTCACGTATATGTAAATGGAGATCGCACCACACATGTGAGGTACTGCCATGAACGTCAGAGTGAGAGTAAAAATTCTAGCACCAGGCCTCCTGTGTAACTCTAAACTGGTAACTTGTAAAGGCTTTTAAAATGTTGCCTATGGAGATTTTTAGGTACCATAATGTGGCTGGCTTGGGACAAATCCAGATGGTGGGGGGGCGCCCGATTTTAGTCTTGCCTTGGGCAGCATAAAACCAAAATACATCACCGGGTGTATGGTCATCTATTCTTATTAGTTGCAGTATCTATGGAAATGTGTTGCCATAGGTTGCTTTCCTGGTTTATATTACATACACTTCCCCCCTTCTCATCATCATTATACAGGGAGGAGATGTTTTGTACACAGAAGATACATTGTTTGTTTGATCATATTTCTATGAGATTCAACAGGTAATTTCTATACTTGTGGAAAATGTACTTCACCTAAATAAAAAGAAAACGAGTGCAGCCACCACATCCACTAACTGGTAAACTACTGTATATTTTGTTTGTCAGTTTAGATAATCTGTAATTGTTTAATAACATACGTACAAATCAAGTGACAACAGAACAATCTTTGTGCATAAAGTATAATACTTACTGTTTTGTAAATACTTTTGTATTGCTTTTTAATATTGATCGATTCTTCACTCTCAGTGTAGTTCTTCATAAATAGAGCAATCTGGGAGCAAAAGCCCACCTCTTCATGTTCTGGTGGTGGTTTCCCAACCCCACTAAACTCTACTGTATAATTAAAGTGCCTGGCAACTTTGAAAGCCCTGGATTTAAAATAAAAAGATGGTAGTGACTGACCACTAAAGTTGACTAAAATGTTTAATCGAATGATACTATAAAACACAGACATTCAGAATGATATTATATATTTTAGATAACAAAACATTTCTTTTGCTTCTTTTCTTTCTTTTGAAAATGTTGAGATAATATCTAGTACAATCAAAGGGAAGACAAAATAAGAATGAAGACAAGAACACTCTACAGATCAAAATGTCATTGTCATATTCTTGATCTAAATCTACAGTTTATACTGCCTTTATAATTTACGTGTTACCCCAACATAATAGTGTGCATGGGCTCTAAAAGAACCAGACCACAGTGGTATAAAGTTAAACACGTTGATGCCTTTTTTTCTTACATAGCTTAATCATAAGGCAGACTTCCACAGAGCTGTCATTTGATTAAATAACTAGTGAACAGCTGTCAGCTGTAACTGCAGATGCAGTCCTCCTGGCCAGCAGCAGATGGGGCTGGTGGTGTGAGCTGCCAGGCCAGAGATTACAGTGTCTCTGCAGCAGAAACCAAGGGGTAGGGAGGTACTGTGAACTGATAGGGCCAGATATTAGAAGGCCATTTCCCACTGCAACACAAACTAACCTGCTGAAGGGAACACCCTGGGTGTGCTTCCTGCTGGTTATTGCTGTTGTGGATGGAGATGATCTTCATTTAAATGCTAACACTTATTGGTTCCTATAACCCATTAGCTTCTAGCTTTCATTTTCAAAACTTAACTGAAAAAGCTGTAACTAGAAGCTCATTGGTTCAACTGATTGGTCACAGCTGCTCCAGATTTTGTCTGCTCCCATTTTAGTTTGCTCCTCTAGTAAGTTCTAAGGTTCATTCATTGTAAAATTGTAGAAAAAAGTATCTACTTCTCTAAAGTGGCTCTAAAGGCTAGACAGTTCCCTGCATTAAGGTGAAACCTCACCTCCATTTATACTTACCTGAGTCCTATCTCGATTGAGCGGCGTGCCCATCTGCAGCAGCGCTGGTTTTCTCTCTCTTCTGACAGGCTTAGAGACAGCCATTGGCTACTGCTGCTGTCAATCAAATCCTGTGAGGAAGGAGCAGAAGGCAGGGCTGAGCTGTGCTGTGTGGGTCAATGGACGCACACAGCCTGGCTTGAGAGCAAGCCCACAGGTGTGCCATGCATGGTGGCACACAGAGAAGAAGAGCAGCTAGAGCCAGTATGCAATATAAATAAAAATATTAAATGGATAGCAGAATATTACGGATAATAAAAACTAATATTGTCCGTGATAGTGTGTGATCAACATAAATGTCAGTTAGATAATAAGGTGCAACTTACTAAAGTGCTGGATGTGGATGTCATAGCAATCATGCAGGGGAATCCGCCACCTCTAAAAGATGTACACTCACCAGAATTAAACTGGTAACAGGCATTTCAAGAATAACACATCTTGAGGTAGGAGCAGCCTAGAGGTTAGGATGGACTGTCATCTAGGGCTTTAGACAAAAAGGGAGCCTTTGTCCTGAAGAAAACAGCTCACCACAGGAGCCAGAGAGTTGTATATAGTGTAGTAATTTATTTCATATTTTAAATAATAAAAAACTCCACGTGGAGACAATCATAAAATGAATAATAGAAATACCAAGATGGCCACCGCTCTGTCCTTCGGCAGCGGCGGAGTGACGTCCGCAAGAGGCTCCACCCGTGTTTGAGCAATAATGGCATCTAGAGGCAAGCTCATACGCTGCAACTGTTATTTTTCTTCACTGATCATTATTTCAAGAACCTACCAGGAGCTAGATTTATTACTCATTCATAAAAATACAAAGGGTCCCATTTGGAGTTTGTTGTAAATAGGCATTGAATTTCAAGTTTAAATAACATATAAATCTTCCTCTTTCAGAGACTCACAAAATAATCATCACCTCAGAGGTTCATATCTATGTGTTGAGATGAATTAAAAAGTATGTGGCTTGCGATATGTATAACAAACGCCATCAAATCATGTTTCGTGTATTATCATAGATTGAAATAGTGCATGGTAAAACATGTTGCTGCAACTTTTGATGTGAATCCATTCTAAATATGACAAATGTAATATAACTTGTCTTACACAATTCTCAAATGCACTACAAATACTTTCTTTCCATTTTTAAATGTATACATTATATCCATAGTATTGTGTTCAAGGCTGATCTTAAAAAAGTGCATATAAAATGCACATTTGGTGTACAATTTCATAAAAAAAACATTGGAAATAATTTAAAGCAATAGAATACTATAGCCTGTAGTACCTTTACAGTGGTTACATTGTACATGTGATCTGCTATGACATCACCCATTTGATCGTTCGACAGTTTGATACACAGCCAACCTAAACATACCAGTAACTGTAAAACTGGCCATAGTCAGTTTTTATTTGTTTAGCCAGGGGGCTGAAAGTGGAGGCAGATGCAAGGTGGATGGAGGAATCCCCCCACACTGGGATATTGTATTCTGACAGCGGGATCCGCTGATTAATGGCTGCAGCCAATTGGATGATTAAGAAAAATGTTCCAATATGTGACAAAAGTCGATCATACAATTGGTTTATTTAATGAAATTTGGCTGGTCCCTGCTGAATTTCGATCAGCTTATGGCCAGCTTAACAGTTATAATTCATGGCATGTATTGAATGTAAACATTTTGGAAAGCAGTTAAATCAGTGGGTTTAGTTCCGCTTTATAATCAAGATAGCAGAATAACTCTAGAAAAAAATCAAGCACAATGAAAGCTTCATACATAGTTAAATCAGAAGTTCAGCAAAGAACAAATTTAAACAGACTGAAGGCATACTTTGAAAATATCTTACCAGCTCTGGAATTCTTCTCTGCTCCACTCAAACTTGTGATCTGGGTGCCTGAACTTTTGAGTTTTGGGAAGCAGGATATTAAACTCTGCATTAGGTGTGGTAATCACTACTGCTTTAGGGGCCATAAAGCCAAACAGGGCATCTTCTAGTTTATCTAGGTCATCAAGTTCCAAATGTTCAATCCTTAAAATTAAAAAAATGTACGTTTTCCAAAGTTTACATTTAAAACATATTCTTAGAATATTCTCAGTGTTTCATCAGTAATCTGTTAAATATGCAGTCTAAAATGTAAGGTCTATCTCCACTAAGGTGTAGTGGGATGTTTATGAAACCATGAACACAAGGTTTCACAGTAATAGAGGAATCACTACTTGCTAGATAACCAATTTTATTGATGTTCTCTTCTACTGCCCTATACTGTTCCCTCTTGTCAATTTCAGAATGTCATTACCTCTACTGTGTAGACTACTAGTTCCATCAATCCACCATGTAATAGGGATGAAAAAGGCAGACGTATTTGAAGTTCAGCCTGTATGACAACTATAGATGCCCTTGTAGACACAGTGGAGAAAAATTAATGGACTTGAAGGGACAGGAAGTATGCCATTTGCAGGACTACCAGATAAAACAAAGGAGAAAAAGCCTGAAAAAAGCAAACCACAGCATAATGGTTTGATAGATTTAAGTAATGCAGATTTCTAAATGGTGTATCTGCAATCAAGACTCCATTTTGATTTCTCTGTGAAAAAAACAATCAATGTTTAAGGAAAAAGATGCAGGTGAAATGAGATTAGTGCTACCACAAAAGGGAATATAATTGAGTTTTAAAGCTGTAATATTAATCATAAAATACATATCTTGAAAGAATTGGTATTTATTCTAAAGTTCCTGATCAGGGACATGCATTTCTAAAGAATAAGTGCACATTTTTTGCAGGTAAGTAAAATGTGCATTTATTATTTTTTCTAAGGAGCCTGTAAAGAATTGCACCTATGATCAGTAGTTCACAGGTGCAATATCAAACTCCAGCAGACTCTCAGAATAGCTGTTTGCCCGTACCTTCCGTATGGGCAGTTACTGGAGAGCAGGACGATCAATTAACTACAAGAGTGCTCACCAGAGCCCTCGCAGTTCATTAAGAACTACAAGCCATCAGCCACAATGGCTGACGGTATGTGCACTTCATTCATTCACAAAACTCAGTGAACTCTGCATGGTCGCACGTTTTCAAATTGTGACAGCGGGTGCGGGAAGATCCCCCACCGCTGTCAAAGGAAGGGGGAGGATCGAGGGGAGAGAGGCTAAATATGGATGTAATATGTCCAGAAAGGTAAACTTAGCCTTTAAGTCAAATCTACAAGGTATACTAGATACAAATTGGAAGGAAAATCACAACTGATATTGCCTCGTCCAACTCCCATGTGAAATAAACTTACAGCTCAACGCATGATATCAGGTCAAACCCAAGAAGAGCAGGGTCCTTCTCACACACAGAGCCCTTGTATAGTATAACAGTTAATGCTCTTTCCATGGGTTCCAGGTAATGGGTAGGAAGAGGGGTAAGAGTATGCCTAAAAATAATACAGATAATATTTATTCAATAAAAGCTTCCTGAAAAAAAAACAAAGAGTTATTTTTTAGCAAAGATATGATTTAGCCAATTTTTACAAAGATAAAGTGGTCACTTCCAGGGTCCACAAACATTATATCATACTGTGCTCAGTTTTGGAATATACTATGAGAACCACAGACTCTTTGGTAACAAGTGAAGCCAATACATCAAGCCTATACATTAAGCCTTCCTGAATACCAATAATGTAAAGAATTTGAACATATTTAACTGAAGTCTTTCAAAGTCGATCAAAAATTACATTTTTCTTCTTAACGTCTCTTCATCAATGTCCACACCAACTAGAAACTCGATGCAGTTCCAAAATCTCAGTCTGTGAAGAAGAGAACATTCACTACATCCTAAGTCAGCAACCTGCAGAATAAAAATAAATACTATTAATTGCTATTACAACTATACCTTGTATATTTAATCGTTAGCTGGGGTTACTTCCCCTTACTTTAACGTGTTCCTTATAAATAACTGACAAATAGGAGATAGACTAAAAGGAAATGACTGACAGAAAGGGAAAGTCTGTAACATGTGAAACAAACTCATTTAAGGTGATGATTGTGAAAACATAATGGTATACATAGCATCTGTAAAAGGTGTGATAGCTTTAAGGATAATATCCTCCTAACAATGTATGCTTAGCGAAGGTGTGGATCATTGTCATGCTGCAAAAGTGCACGACAGCCAAGGGCACGGAGTGATCGTAGCATCTTCCCTTACAATATAGAGATATATATGTGTGAATTCATGATACCATCAATGACATGCTGCTCCCTGAAACCAGCAGCACTCATGCAGCCCCACAGAAGGACACTGCCACCACCATGTTTCACTGTAGGCACCATGCTTTTTTCCTTGTACTCCTCACCTTTCTGACACCATACAGCCATCAATTTCAAAAACATTCATCTTGGTCTCATCACTCCAGAGTACAGAGTCCCAGTAGGGGCCCTGGCAAATTCTAGGTTGAATTTTTTGTGCAAGGGCGTTAAAGAGGCTTTCTTCGTGGATGACACCCATGCATGCCATACCTCTGCAGTGTATGCCGTATTGTGTCACAGGAAACAATCACCCCAGTTTGCTTTCTACTTCTTTAGCTAACTGCAGTGACTTTTCATCAGAAGATGTCCCTGTCGAGGTGTTAGCTTCTGTGGACAGCCTGGACATCTCTGTGAGATGGTTGCAGTTCCATCTTTGTTAAATTTTTGTATCACTATTGCTACTGTATTCTGACTGATAAGTAAAGCTCAGCTGATCTTCTTGTAGCCTTCACCTTTCTTGTGTAAAGAAATTATTTTCTTTTTCAGGTCTTGTGACATTTCTCTTCCATGTGGTCCCATTTCTGACAGCATGAAATGTCTGCTGGACACCTGTTTAATGAATAATTAGATTCACCTGTAGTTGAATTCTTGTTATTAGGATTTTGTTGTCTAAAATTTAGCTTTGCTCCTAAGACTTTCATTGGGGTGTATTCATTTTTGCAATATAGTCTTGAATGAATTTGTTAGGAAAAATACTTTTTAGTGTATGCAACTTAACAAATCTTGTTTGTAATCAATGGCCCGCATTTGTGGGAGCATTTTGTAGTATAGTGTCCCATAAAAAAAGTTGATTCTGAAAGGAAAGTAAAGGTTTTCTGACAAATCTGTTGGGGTGTACTCATTTATTTGTCATGAATCAGTTACAAATAAGGTTGCTTTCATACTGATGCATTTTTGCTGTGTGTCTAGGTTGCTAGAATTGCAAGAAACATGTTTTCCTTTAAATCCTAAGTCCTGTTTGCTGCATCTTTGGCACGCTTTTCAAAACCACACCAAAAATGCAGCCCCTATTGAAATGAATAGAAAACGCAAAAACATTTTTGGTGTATTTTTGAGTCACATGTCCATGTTTCACAGGTGCAAGCTGGAAGTAAGGCAACCAGAAATGCACCGGAAATGTTTTAGATGCATTTTTTTCAATGGAGCAGTGTGAAAGCAGCCTTAATCTATGTTATTAAAAGTGTTATTAAAAGTGAACATTTTCCATTTATGTTAAAAACAAAAACTAATTTTGTTTTCAGAGGAACACCCTTTATACACAAAAGTAAACCAATGTACAAAATAAATAAAATAAATCATTAGTTCATATAAATCAACAGAAACTCAATAAAAGTGTCCATATTGACATAGTACAGGGTAGATCTGTTCACTAAGACACTTAACCAACAAGCTACATAATGCAGCAGTGCTCTGCATCTCATCACTTTTGTCCAGTATGCAGCTAGACTATAACAGCCAGTATTGGCACACCCAGTGGACCTCTGCTTGTTCAATGATATCACTATTAACCTCCCCAGCGGTCTGATTATGTCAGTATTTCTGTGCTCAAAGCGGTACATTTTTTTGCATGGAAATATTTAGTTTTTTTATTATAGGCCTCTAATTTTTAGTAATAACTCACTGAAATCTGTCCGAACAAGAGTCTAGTAAACATCCCGGGTATGTTAAAATTTGAAACACGAAATCATAAATTATAATTTCATAAATAATCATAAAAAATAATAATATAATATTAATAAATTTAATTCAGTAATATAATTAAACCAAAAACACTGAAATTTGAAATATAGCGCCAAGTTCGCACATCACTGAGCAAAGTCACAAAATCGTTTTCAGTGTCTGATGACGAATTTCCCCACGAATCATTATCACTCAATTCTGCAAGTAGTTCTAATTTACTATTGCTGTTCTCTAGCTGGTCTAAAACCGCTTTTGACCTAAAGGGACGCTTTTTGGACGCCATGGACATTTCTCAGTTTCCAGGAAGAAAGAACAGTAAATATGCAGGCAGGGCACAAGACAAAGCAGTAGGGACAAAATGTATGTGAAATGCTTTGATACAGTAATGTTTTACCATGTGATTTTAGTGTATTTAGTGAATGTCACTTTTTTGACATTTTTAAATTTCCCGCCACTTCCGTCCCTGTACGTTCTGACGTAGCAGGGAATGGAACCCGGAAGACAGATGCCGGCATCGGCCGGCGGTCATTGCCGGGAACGCTGCAGGGGACATCATGGGAGCGCAGGACAAGGTAAGTGCAGAAGGGTATTCCCAAGTAGCTCGGGGTTACCGCTTGTGGTGCTGAAACTTTACCCCGAGCTACACTCGGGAATACCTCCAGGGAGGTTAAAGCCCTTCAGGAAAATAAGTCTTCACAAATTTTTTTTTTTTTTGACAAAAATGTGCTGTTTTTAACCAGTTTCCTCTAGAAGTGGTTCATATTTTGCACATGGTAGAATCTACATATCCTAATAGTGCAATACAAGACACAGGCTTGACATCATTAGAACTGCAGAGAGGACACAACAGTGAGGAGGAGGAGCCTGACTATGGAGCCGAATGGGAGATCGTGGTAAGATCTCCCGTGCCCAGGCTCCCCCAGCGTCCAGCCAATAGGTAGGAATGACCTACCGAAGCCAAGCAGGAGAAGGGGAGATCGTGGTAAGATCTCCCGTGCCCAGGCTCCCCCAGCGTCCAGCCAATAGGTAGGAATGACCTACCGAAGCCAAGCAGGAGAAGGGGGACTTGTTTGCTGCTGAGCCCTGAGGGTGAGACCCATTGTCCGGCAGTCCTCGATTTACTGGGAGGACTGCGGGAACATGCAGGAGGAGGCTGAACTGAAGGGCAGAAAGCCCTGTGAATTAAGATACGGAGGACTCCGGGTGGTCACGTGACCGGTCGCGGGGAAGCCCAGGGAGGAGAGGGATACCGGCCTGCACAGGGGGTGCACGTGGACCTGATCTCCCCTCTCTCCCTGTCTCCCTCATACACCCTGAATGATTATAACTTGGGTCTGCAGTGGAAGCTGGAGCCTGAGAGGAGTCAAAGTAGCAAATGCTTTCCGGGGAATTCCATGCCAGATAGATTGCTGAATTGGAGGGGCCATCTTTTTGCAACCCCCCTGCCAAGGAAATCGACAGAAGCCCCCCCCCCCCGATTCGGAAAAGTGAAAGCTTAAAGGGTGAGTGAGAGTGGCAGAAGACACGGAATGTAATATATGTTATGTGTCAAAAGGAAAATGAAGTAAATATGGACTGTTAAAGGAGTGGGGGTTGCATATAGGGGGTCACTACAGAGACTATAGAGGGTCTTATATTTTTATATTCAAACAAATAAAGAACGTTAGCTCCTACAGGGGGCCCACAAGGGGAGAGAGGGGGAAAGAAGAAGGAGAAGATCTAAAAAGGAGGAGATTATTAAACCCACTAGATATTGATATGGGGTCAAAAGCCCCCATATCAAGTTCAATTAAGAAATATATTCCTGGGCAGGATAAACAGACCCCTGAGAGGCAAAGTGGAATCTATGAAAAAAGTGTGATAGAGAACAGTAGTGGTGGGAGCCCCAGAAGATCCCTGGGAATGTCCAATATTAGTCAAAACTTTGAAGAAGCAGATACAGAAAAGATAAATGTTCTGGATAACTTGGAAGATCAAGATTCACATTTACCAACTAAAATAGAAATAGCAGAAATGTCTGGAAATATCTATAAAAAAAAGAGATGGGAAAGCTACACAAAGATTTGGGTCATGTTCTTTCTAGAGTGGAGGAGATGGAAGAAAAAACAAATAGGCTCAAGAGATACAGACCATAGAAAATAAAATGGAGGAAATGAAAAAGGAACAAAGAAATCTGCTTTATAAATTGGAAGACCAGGAAAATAGGAATAGAAGAAGCAACTTAAGGATACACGGTTTACCAGAGACTCCCCAAGAAGATCTGAGGGAAACGGTGGGAGAAAATGTTAGTTACAATAATGGACAGATCTGCAGCAGAAACCTATAAAATTGATGGAGCATACAGAATTGGAAGATTATATCAAGAAGGAGGAAAAGGAAGATCGAGAGATATCATTGCTCAATTCCGATATTATTGGGATAAAGAGGAGATCTGGAAGAGGATGAAAGGAAGAGCTACTATAAAATATGGAGAAATAAATTTACAGATCTTTGCTGATCTCGCTGCAGAGACATTGTTAAGAAAGAAAATCTTGAAACCATTATTAGAACAAATGAAGAAGCAAAATGTTCGATATAGCTGGGGGTTCCCAGCATGTTTGATCAGCTTGAAAAATGGACGATCGGCAAGATTAAATTTTCCTGAAGAATTGAGAGACTTCTGTGAGAGATTTGAGTTGCAGAAAATAGACATTCCTGGATTGGGGGGGGGCGGGATGGAGGGGGGAGAATGAGAGGGGGCAGGTAGTTTAGGAGGGGGATGGGGGGGGGTGGAGGAGCAGAGGAGGAAGTGGTGGTGGGTTTTTTTTTATTTTCCCCTCTTTTCCTCCTTGCCCCCTCCCCTCCTCCTCCCTGCTCCCCTTTTTT